CCGGCTGTAGTGTGTGATCACCAGGGCATCATCTTTCTGAGGAGCATGTGGGTTTTCCACAAAGCTGTTCCCTGAGGGATCATCGATGATCTAACAAATGGGTGAGAAGAGGGTCACTGCAACAGGAAATCAAACAATCCTACATCACCTACCATCAGACCACTCAGGTACCACAGTGGAAAATCCCAGCAGTCTTAATGGTCCCTCCTCCCCTAACTGAGGGCGACTCCGGTCTCTTAATACTCACCAGAGTGAAAGGAGAGGTTACTTGCTTTAGCTCCTTCAGTTTGACAATGAACTCATCAATTCTTTCAGCTGTGGCATCTTTGTTTGCCTGCCATGAACAGAGAGTAAAGCATCAGCCCCGGTGGGATGCCTTACGCCCTGCCCCTTGTTATGCCCATGTTACTTCCATTAGAAAGTCACCACCTGTCTCAATGTGAGTGGAAACAGAGTGACTCAGGCTTCACAAAGAGATGTAGCAAACAAGGCTGAAGTTGATGGGTGGTGACAGGTAAGCCTCATTTTTCTCTCATTCAACCATTTAGCCCAGGCATTCATGCCAGGTTAGATATATAACGGTAAATATATCAGTCCTCTCATGGGGCTCCCCAGCCAGTTAAGGAGACAAATAACTAAAGATGCAGTTATAGTGTATTACTTCTTTCATAATAAATCTAAGATGCAATGGAATACTCAAGAAACACAGATAACCCAAGGGAATTAGAAAAGGCTCTTCAGAGGTAATGTTATAATGTCTGTCTGATGAGACCTGAATATACACCGGGGGAGGGAAGGAAAAAAGACAAGAATTACAACATACGCAACATCCGAGCAGCTCCAGCACCACCATATGCTTACCCAAAAAGTTCTCCAACATTTAGTCAGATACTCTATTCAGACACATATAAGCAACTATTCCTTGAGCTGCTGCAATCAGAAAACCCCAGCTTACCCTTCGTGCAGGCTGGTCCTGCTCCAGGCCAGAGACAGCTCGGGTGATCAATCCTTCAACAGTGGTCAGAGCTTGTGAACAGGAACAAAAGACACGTGTGTCTTGGCCTTAGCTCTTTTTTTTTTTTGAGACGGAGTTTCCCTCTTGTTACCCAGGCTGGAGTGCAATGGCGCGATCTCGGCTCACCGCAACCTCCGCCTCCTGGGTTCAGGCAATTCTCCTGCCTCAGCCTCCCGAGTAGCTGGGATTACAGGCACGCACCACCATGCCCAGCTGATTTCCTTTTTGTATTTTTAGTAGAGACGGGGTTTCACCATGTTGACTAGGATGGTCTCGATCTCTTGACCTTGTGATCCACCCGCCTCGGCCTCCCAAAGTGCTGGGATTACAGGCTTGAGCCACCACGCCCAGCCCACCTTAGCTCTTATTAAGTGCCTGTATGACCCTGGGCAATTCACTTGAACTCTCTGGGCTTTATTTCCTCATCTGTAAAATGAGAAGGCCAGGTGCAAGGTTCTATTCATGTCTGATAACAGCAATGCTAAAATTCTATAATAAGCATACCATGGGCTTACCATTACTTTCTATCATTTCCAGCTGTTTCCACTCATGAGAAACCTATGAAGCTCACAATGATTACATGCTGGAACCCATACACAAATCATCAGACCTGGCACCAGGGGGTTTGCAAGAAAGAGGGTAAGATTCTAGTTCCATGTGAACAGCCCAAATATTCTGATCTTAAACTTACCTCCTTTCTGGCTAAAGGCAGGAATTTCGAAATCTAGCTCAGGAATCCTTGTGGTAGCAGAGTCAGTCTTCACCACTTCTCTGTTCATGTCCTGGGCAGAAAGTTAAACGTTCAGTACAAAGAGGATGCAGAACACCTTCTCCAAGCAATAACCAGACTGTCCCCTTCCATCAGACCCCAGCCCAGCTGTCTCTCCCTCTCTCCACTCCACAGGGTCCAGACTGCTCCTTTCAAATAGTACAGGTGGTGTGAGCCAGGCTGTCCAAATGGTGAAAATATTATTCATAACAACTACTGCTCATATCATATGCTCAGACAACATTTACAAAGCATTTCCACAAATCTTATCTCACTTGAGCTGGTGACAGCACCAGCAACATTTTACAAAAGAAACTAAGGCTAGGAGACATGGGGAATTTAAGTTCCGACCTCCTGGACCCGCGCTCTGACCCCAGTGCCCAAGCTCCCTCTAGTCTAGAATACGGAGGTACCTGCTCTGAGGTCCTCTCACCTCCGGAGCCCTGACGGTCAAAGTGTAGCGCACTCCCTGGTCCTGGATCCTGCCTGCCGACTGAATCTCCGTGTTGTTCCAGCCACAGTGCTCGCAGGAAAAGGAGCTCACGATTATTTCTCTGAAGAAAGGAATCTTGGTGAGCAGGAGTCGCGTCATGCCCTGGTGAAACAGAAGGCAACGAAGGAAGAATCAATGAAACTCCCGTTCCCCGCCCTACTGTCTCCAGGCGCACCTCGGGGACCCGGCCGGGCCCATCCAGCTGGGTCCAACCCCCGGCTAGTCCCGGCCCAAGCCCTACCCTCCCGCCTACTGCGGTCGCGCCCCCGCCTCACGTTGCGGTAACAGTTCATGCACAGCGACTCGATCTCGGTGGGCTGCTGCTCCTCGTCGTCGGCGCTGATGGGCCGGAACAGGTGACTCGGGGCGGGCGGCGGGGCCGGAACAGGCGAAGGGGCGACGGCAGCCCCCGGGGGCCCCGGTTCTACAGCCCCGCTAGCCGCCATCGCCACCACGCGCGGTTGGGACGCCGGCTTCCGACTTCCGGTGCTCTCGCGGCCCCACCTCCTCGTCACTTCCGCCAGCTGCCACCGCCCCCGCCTCTCTTCTTAAAGAGGCCGCAGACTCCGGGCCCTCGGGGAGCAGTGTCGTCAAGGGCTCCCGGTTCCCGGGTTTATAAGGCTCGAACCTTCCATCGCCAGCCGGATCCACCTCAACTCAGCCGTCACTTCCCCCAAGACGGCCTCTCAGAACCAGGGCAGTTTTTTGCTTCTTCACAATAGCTCCACCGCACTGGGTTCCATTGGTCCCCACGTCGGTCTACAAGAGCCTTGAGGACAAGGAGCCTAGCTTGTCCCTGAGGAATGCCTGAGAAGGTGCGCCCGGAGTCGGGCTGCCTGGTTCCAGTGTTGGGCCACGTGCTGCTTGCGTTCTAGGTTCCCCCTCCGGATGGCTCAGCTTCTTCCCCTCTCTCAATCCCTCAATCCCTCTGTCCCTTTCTGTTCCTCCCACTCCCTGTTCTGTCCTCATCACTACCTTCCCCAATCCCAGCCTCAAGTACACAGCCCTCATTTTCACTCCCACCTCCTCATCCCCACCATAGCCCACCCCCTTGACCCATGCTTTTCCAGTTTCCTAACTAACAACAACAAAAACACTTTTTTGGTTTCTACCTTTCTAGCACTTCCTCTCTCCAGGTGCTGGGGCCACAACCTAGTTCCGTTGCCAACATTGCCAAAATCCAGGTGCCAGGGAAGACCAGCCTGCGGGCATGATGAGCCTACGTGTGTGTGGGGTCTGTGCTATGGGGTTGGTGAGCAAGCGGTGCTGAGAACCCTGGGGCAGCAGGCTGAGCTGGGAGGAAAGGGAGCTGGACAGGACAGTTCAAAGGGAAGGGGCTTACCCTTTCCGCTTCCCCCACCACACCCCAGTTTCACAGTTCCCAGGGGAGCTATGGGGAGCATTGGTGCCCCTGACTGAGTTTGGGAGTCCCAAGAAGACAGTCCGGCATAAAAAGAGGCCATTCAAACTCTAGGAACAGCAGAAACAAATGAGACAGGCCATCTCAGGACTCTCAGGTCCACCAGGGCCACAGCTCCTGCAGACACAGCCCACATTCCATACACACTGTCCTGTGGGGAGCAGGCTAGTGAACAGTGCAGGTGCAGAGGAAGGGCCTCCCGCCAAGTGTGACAGACCGCCGTTGTCTGGCCAGGAGCCGTGAAGCAGAGCCCAGACAGAGCCCCTTTGACAGACCTGGACTGGGAGGGGTTGATGAGAAAGAGCAGCCGGGAAATGGAGTGGGTGATGGGTGTGCTTTGGGGATAGTGGTAAGGCCACTGCTTTCAGATATGGTCCAGATGAGAGTCACACCAGGCAAACTTCTATCATAAACATCTATTTCATTTGAGCCAGAAGTCTAGGCTTCAGCTTGGGAGTCTGGAGGGAGGGGCTGGAGATGAGAAGGGCACACAGTATGCTCCCCAGAGGGTTTAAGGAGCTCCCATAGTTTGGAGGGTTCAGCCCCTTATTTAGGTGTAGAGCTATGTCAGGAAATGTGGGCTCTGCCTTTTGCCATCCCAGCCCTGCCCCACAACCCTTTCGTACCCACCAGCATCAGAGCCAGCAGGGATATACACACACCATCACATGTTCTCCCCATGGTATTTTCCTCTTTCTCTCTTCTATTCCCCTGACAGAAGCTGCCACGGCAGCCCTGGGGATACAAGTGCTCCTCTCTGTGGACCAGCTGTAGCAGTGGCCACCAGGCAGCCAGAAGTGACCAGAGCCAAACTCCAGGATGTAGTGGCACAGGCTTCCAGCATCATGGCGAACAGGCTTGCAGATAATCATCCTCATGCATGGTGCCTTTCTCCCTCCCGACTCCCTCACCCTTGAAAGGAGCAGCTTTCCAGTCATGGTAGTGCGTGCCTGTAGTCCCAGCTACTCGGGAGGCTGAGGTGGGAGGATCGCTTGAGCCCAGGAGTTCTGGGCCGTAGTGCGCTATGCCAATTGGGTGTCCGCACTAAGTTTGGTATCAATATGGTGACCTCCCGGGAGCAGGGGACCACCAGGTTGCCTAAGGAGGGGTGAACCGGCCCAGGTCGGAAATGGAGCAGGTCAAAACTTTCGTGCTGATCAGTAGGGGGATCGTGCCTATGAATAGCCACTGCACTCCAGCCTGGGCAACATAGTGAGACCCCGTCTCTTAAAAAAAAAAAAAGAAAGAAAGAAAGAAAGAAAGCAACTTACGAGAATTCCCAAATGAGCACTGGAAAGCTGGGTTTGCAAAGCCTGGTGAGTGTAATGCATCCAGATGGGGGAGTCACAGGAGGCTGGATATGCGAGAGGCAGCAGCCCCTTTGGTGACCTCCCTGTCCTGCACAGGACCTTCCACCCTCCACCCAATGGGCCACTTTCAAGGACTAAACCATGCTGGAGGCTCAGGGTCAGGGCTCCCCAGACAAGGAGCTGAGAATAGGCCTGAAGTAGACCCTCAGGGCTCCTCCAGATGGCTGTGGCCCTGGTCATGAAGGCTGTAGGCGATGTCTTCCCACAGGTCATCCAGACGGGCTTGCAGCTTGCTCAGGGCCTTGTCACTGTCCATTTGTCCAAACTCTGGGGCGAAGGCGCTGTGGCCTGGTGGAGGTGGTGCCAGCTGCTGCTGGACTTCCTCAGTCTCCTGGTCGATGGCACGAGTGAAGGCAGCGATCTGCAGGTAGGTGTCCTGGCGGAAAGCCTCGAGTTTCTGACGCACCTCCTCGGAGAGCATCTCCGGGTCCGGGCCGGCCCCCTGCTCAGCCCCAGTGCCTGCAAAGGCGCGGCTAAGCTCTTCGCGCAGCTGGTCCAGGTTCTGTTGGATGCGTGCGTGCAAAGCCTTGGCCTTGAGTGTGAGTTTGCGGGAGAGCACCTGCACGCAGCGGCTGAGGCGCGCGGGGCTGGCGGGGGCGTGCGGAGCCACACTGCGGTGCAGTTCCTGCACGTGGCGCCCAATGCCGCTCACCAGGCTCTCGGCGTACGGGTGGAAGAGCTCTTTGAAACGGCCGGTATGTTGCACCACGCGGCTCTGCAGTTCCTGCAGCAAAGTCCCGCGCCTCGCCCACGCCCCCCAGCAGCTGGGCCTTGGTATCTTCTCCCACCACGCGCAACTTCTCCTGCAGCTCCTGCACGCGCAGGGCCACCTGTTCCATCAGATCCATCGTGTAGGGCTTCAGCTGCTGCCGCAAGCCCTCCAAATTCCAGCCCACCAGCTCGTGCGCCTCTGCCATGTAGGGCTGCAGGCGCGCCCTCACCTCCTCCAACTCCTCCTGCAGCTGCTGCCGCATGCCCACCGGGTCCCGTGGGAGCCGAGGAGCCTCGCTCCCACTCAGAGGCCCCAGCTTTTCCAGGAACTTGTTCATATTGTTGAGGTCTTGCTCAAGGCTGTCTTTCAGGCTCCTGGGGAAGGGGAAGATATCCAGGCTGTCAGACTGCTAGCCCCCATCATCTTTCTTGTCCCCAAGTCGTCACGCACTGATCCTCTAGGCCCTAGAGGACCATGGACGCAGGGCGTTGGCCCCAAAATCAGGGGCTCTTGTCCTAACCCTGGCCAGTCACAACTCCTCACACACGAAGCATAAACACATTGCACATGCAAATCCAGACCTACAACACTGATCAAAGAAGCACAGATGCGCCACATCATCCTTTGATTCTGGAGACCGTAGCAGGGGTCCTCCCGGGCGATCCCAGGTCCCGCGCCTCAGTGGTCAAACGGGCAACAGCTATAGAGTTGTTAAGGCAGGGGCTGCAGGCAGAGGGCGCTGAAGAGCCCAGGATGGCCGGGATCTGCGGGCAGACCTAGCACTGCTCCTTTCCTCTGTCCCAACAGGGGCCACAGAGGCAGGGCATCATGGCATGGCCCAGCTGTCTCCTCCCTTCGCCCACGCCCCTTCCCCTGGGCACTCACGCGGGCTCACGAGCCATCTTCTGCTGATGGATCTGCTCCATCTTGCCTTTGTCCCCACTGGTCTGGCGGAAGTAGTCCCAGAAGCCTTTCCGTGCCTGGGTGGCCGAAAACGCTGCAGAGAGGCACTGGGTGATCAGGGCCTGGGCTCTCCTCCCCCGGGGTGGACAGGGCCCTCAGGCCAGCCCCCACCCACACCCCCACGTCGAAGTCCGGGGCGGAGACCCACCTGAGAGGAGAGCCAGAGCCCAGGTGAGCACGGCAGCCATGCTTGCCATTATCTGCTCTGAGAAGGCAAGTGGAGGGAGGCCTGCTTAGGGAAAGAAGCAGAGGAAGGGACATGACCTAGGGGGCCTCTACAGGGACAACTGCTCAAAACCCTGTTAACCCTTCCTTGGGGTGGGGAGCACAGAGCTGTTGGGGTTCAAGAGTCCTGACCTAAATGAGTCAAAGAGGCTGGAGTGTCTTCCTCAGACACGGGGAGAGGGTGTGCCCTTGCCACCTCAGTCAGATAGCAGGGAGCAGGGTGCTCTAGCCCCTTCATAAAGGTCCCCAACCCTAGGAGCAGCTCCCTAGGCCACTTCTACCACCTCTCCCTGCCCACCTTTCCCCCTCCCGCCCATTTCATGGTGGGAAAAACTGAGGCATAACGAGGGCAAAGAAGCAACTCTGCCAAAGTGCTGCAAGAGGATGTCTTGGGGGCCACCCCAGGCTCTCCCCTGAGGCCACCTGCCATGCCCTCCCTTAGGGTTGCGGCCCCCATCCCTCTGCCCCAGCTGCTCACCTGCTCACATCTGGGCACAGAGAGCAAATATTCTGCTTTATACTCCATGGCCCGGAGCCCCTGGCACCAATTGCTCTGAGTAAATACCACGTGGAGGTTCAAAAGAGGTTGACCCCAGCTGCCTCCCAGCACTTACCTTCTGCCCTTTCTCTGGCACCCAGAGGGTTAATGAGTGCCCTGGTGTCAGGGCTGCCCCAGTAGAGAAGTGTTTCCCAGAAGCTTTACTGAGAATGGGGTTGAACTCCTCACCCAGTTTCCCCCAAACCTTGTGACCTTTAACTTCCCACTGACCTGCTGGCTGGCCCACCAATAGAGAAGGGCCTGTTTATCTGCAAAGGGCCCCTTCTTACACAACTACTCAGAGGCACTGTGTCCCTGCCAGCAAGACAGAGACAGTGTCCAGCTGCCAGCCAGAGCCTGAGCAGCCCCTGACAGCTCCACTACAGGACCCTCAGGCAGCCTGGGGAGAGCCAGTATTCATAGGGTTAAAGAACCCCCCACATCCCCCTTTGTGGAATAATCCTGGAACAAGCAAGGGAAGCTAGGCAGGGTGAAGATGAGATAGCAAGAGGCACCTGGGCCAAGGACCATGAGCCCCAGAAACTGGAGCAAGAGGAGGATATGCCCCATGGGGAAAGGCTGAACTCCACTCACAGGGCATCTGAGGAGAGCAAGCCCAAATACTCAGATCTTCTCTGATGACACACCCACTCTATCTATTGTACTCATACACACACGTGCACAACTCCCGGTTCTTGGTCCTAAGTGCCTCTTGAATCAATCCCCTCTCCTCCATTTCCAGTACTATCATTGTACCGTTGTCTGTCACCTTGATTGCATTCATAGCTTCCGACAGGTCTTTCTGCCACACTCCTGCCCATTTAATTCATCCTCCACTGTGGCTTATCCCAACTCATTTCCAGTCTCATCTCCTGCCACGTAAAACCACAGCATTCCCTGAGCCATTATACAGGCTATTCCTTTTGCTTGAAATAGCCTATCTCCTGGTGAGTATATAGTCATTTTTTAGGCTTAGTTTGCATTAGTTAGAATTAGACTTAGCTGCAAGGGAAATATATGTGTGTGTGTGTGTATATATACACATATATTTTTTATTCTCTTGCATACATATATATGTGTATATATGTGTGTATGTGTGTATATGTGTATACACACACACGTATGTATGTATGCAAGAGAATAGCTTAAACAAAATGAAATCTCATTTCTTTCTCATGTGAATGTAGGCCACCCAGGGCTGCTTCTATCTTGTGCTATTTTTGTCAACAAGGGGCTCATGTCCAAGTTCCAGCTGCTTTACCTCCAGCCACCAAGTCCACCTCCCAGGGAACAGGGAGGAGGAAAAGGAAAAAGATGCATTCCCTCCGTTTAAAGACATGTCCCAGATACCGTTCTTACCTCTCATACTGACATCCCATTGGCCACAACTTAGTCATATGGCTACACTTAGCTGAAAAGGAAGCTGGGAAATACAGCTTTTATTTTGGATGGCTGAATGGCCAGCTGAAAAAGGACTCTATTACTTGGGAAGAAGAAAAGAAAGGATTTGAAGGGACAATAGTATCCCCTGCTGCACAACTCTGGTATCACTTTGAATGCCCTCTTCTGCCTTCCCCTTTTTCTGCTCTGGAGAGAAACTGATTCCACATTATTCACACAACACTGTATATTCCTGGATTATAGCACTTATTATCTCACCATACAATAATTTGTTGATGAGTCTGAGAGCCCTCTGAATGCAGCAGCTTTTTCTAATTCATCCCTATATCCACTAGTATGTTCTGCACAGTGCCTAATCCATACAAAGTTGAGTGACTGAATTCAATCATTCATTTGATTTAGGAACTGAGGTTTGAGGAGATCAAGTGGCTTGTCCATCATCACACTGTAAGAGTTGTGGCCAGTATCAGGTGCTTGGCTCTAGTGGTTCGAGAGACTAGACTGACCAGGTCACAAGGGGCCTTGTGCGAGCAGTCACTGAAAGGTACATGTTGAGAGATCACTCAGGAGAGTGGCCAGACAGAAGGCAAAGAAACTATTTAGGGATATTTCCGTAATCCAGATGAGAAAAGAAGGCCTGAAGTACAGCATGGCAGTAATATTTGATAGGTAAGTAGATATTGAGAGATACTAAGGCAGCAGAGTTGATAGCACTTGGTGACTGATCAGATGAGGAAGGTGAAGGAGAAGAAAAAATCCCAGTGATTCCCAGGTTTCTGAGCAACGTAGGGGATGATTGTTTCTTTCACCAACAGGAGCCTCCTGAGGAAAAGCAAGCTGGGACAGGAAGTGAGAGCTCAGATTAACAGGAATCCTAACTTGAACCTAGACTGGGTTTCAGATAGGCATAGGGCAAGCCCAGTTGCGGTCTATTTGATAATGGCTAAGAAGCCTCCTAAGAGAAAATTTACTTGAAAGGAAAAAAGCAACAGGAGCTACCATCTAGTCACAAAACTACAGTCTTTAAAGGAGAATAGAGACTCAGAATATTTGGAAAGAGTGCATTTCCATGGGATGGAAAAATATGTGGATGGAAAGCCACTAGAATTGACTTTAGGTGACTACTTGTACCCACAGACTAGTGGTGCCTTGCACCCAAAGGCTCTCCACTGGAGATGTTCTGGCAGTTGGATACAGATGTCTCAAGCCCAGGAGAGAAGTGTTGGATGGAGACTGAGATTTGAGAGTCATCAGAAGATAGGGGCAGTGAAAGACTTGAGAGTAGATGAACTCTCTAGGGAGTGTGTATGCCAGGAGAAAAGAAAAGCGCTGAGGTCAGTATTGGCTGGACGCGGTGGCTCACGCCTGTTATTCCAACATTCTGGGAGGCTGAGGCAGGTGGATCACTTGAAGCTAGGAGTTTAAAACCAGCCTGGCCAACATGGTAAAACTCTGTCTCTACTAAAAACACAAAAAAATTAGCCAGGTGTGATGGCGCATGCCTGCAATCCTAGCTACTCAGGAGACCGAGGCAGGAGGAGTGCTTGAACCTGGAAGGTGGAGGTTGCAGTGAGCTGAGATCAGGCCACTGCACTCCAGCCTGGGTGACAGAGCAAGACTGCATTTCAAAAAAAAAAAAAAACACACACACACACACAAAAAGAAGGCTTTGACAGAGGAAAATAATGCTCTCCAAAGATCCGCGTGCTGTGCTGTACTTCCCAGGCTCCTTTGCAATTAAATTGGGGCCATACAGTTAGTTCCAGCCAATGGGCTGTGAGCAGAAAAAAGTGGGTGACTTCTGTTTGAGGACAGTGAAGAGTGGATGTGAGTTCTCCATACTTTTTTCTTCCTTCCCATACAGTAGAAGCTAAGAATTACAAGATGGCACCATTGCAAGAGGAAGAGGTCTATATTCTGAGTTAGTGCTTGGAGCAGCACCTCCCATCTAAAAGAGGGGCAGAGAAGTAGAAGTATAGTCAAAATAGAGAAGAATCACAGAAAGAGAATATATTAGTTAAATTATTAATTTGGCTGCTCTGAGAGAGACCCAAAATAACAGTGGCTTACAGAAGTTAGAAATTTATATTTTTTCCTATACAAAACTTCACAGTGGTATGGGAGCACTGCTCTGCAAAACTGTCCAGGATCCTAAGTTTCTTCTGTCTGGAGGCTCTAATATGCCTATGTGTTTCCCTTGTCTGAATGATCTAGGATAGCTGACCACCATGTCTACATCCAGCCACTGGAAAGGGGGAAGGGTGGAAGAGAGTGTACTCTCCTTTCTTTTAAGGACAAAAATCTAACTTCTTCTCCCATCCCACTGGTCAGAACTACTTGTAAGGAAGGTTAGGAATTATCATCTTTGTTTTGAATGGCTCTGAGCTCAATGATCAGTTAAAAATCAGGGATTCTACCCTCATACGTTGCTGGTGGGATTGTACTATACAATGGTGCAGTTTCTTTGGAAAATAGTTTGACAGTTCATTAATGGTTAAACATGGAGGAGTTCTCCTATGACCCAACAATTCTACTCCTAGGTACAAACCCAAGACGTGAAATATACATCTACACAAAAACTTATCCATTAATGTTCATGGCAACATTGTTCATAATAGTCAAGAAACACATTTAGCTACAGTTGGAGAGAGAAATAGTAAACTAGAAGGTAAGTCTTAGAAAAACCACACAGAAAGAATCATAGAAATAAAAAGGAGTAGGCCAGGCTCACAGGCTCACACCTGTAATCCCAGCACTTGGGGAGGCCAAGGCAGGTGGATCACGAGGTCAGGAGTTCGAGATCAGCCTGGCCAATATGGTGAAACAGTATCTCTACTAAAAATACAAAAATTAGCCAAGTGTGGTGGTGAATGCCTGTAGTCCCAGCTACTCGGGAGGCTGAGGCAGGAGAATCACTTGAACCCAGGAGGCGGAGGTTGCAGTGAGCTGAGATTGTGCCACTGCAATCCAGTCTGGGCAACAGAGTGAGACTCCATCTCAATAAATAAATAAACAAATAGGAGGATTTATTGGCTCATGCCTGTAATCCCAGCACTTTGGGAGGCCTAGGTGGGCAGATCACTTGAGGTCAGGA